GTGGACCAGATCATCCCAAGTGCAATCACTCAGCACCTACAGGAGGGACAAGAGATCAGACCCAACCAGCACGGGTTTAGGAAGGGCAGGTCCTGCCTGACCAACCTGATCTCCTTTTATGACCAGGTGACCTACCTCCTGGATGAGGGAAAGGCTGTGGATGTGTCTACCTGGACTTCAGCAAAGCCTCTGACACTGTCTCCCACAGCATACTGCTGAAAAAGCTGGCAGCCCATGGCTTGGACAGGGGCACTCTGTGCTGGGTTAGGAACTGGCTGGAGGGCCGGGCCCAGAGAGTGGTGGTGAACGGGGCTGTATCCAGTTGGTGGCTGGTCACTAGTGGTGTCCCCCAGGGATCAGGGTTGGGCCCAGTTCTGTTTAATATCTTTACTGATGATTTAGATGAGGGGATTGAGTGCACCATTAGCAAATTTGCAGATGACACTAAGCTGGGGGGGAGTGTTGATCAGCTGAAGGGCAGGAGGGCTCTGCAGAGGGACCTGGACAGACTGGAGAGTTGAGCTGATTCCAACAAGATGAGGTTCAACAAGGCCGAGTGCTGGATTCTGCCCTTTGGCCAGAACAATCCCCTGCGGCACTACAGGATGGGCACAGAGTGGCTGGAGAGCAGCCAGGCAGAAAGGGACCTGGGAGTTTGGATTGACAGGAAGCTGAAGAGGAGCCAGCAGTGTGCCCAGGTGGCCAAGAAGGCCAATGACATCCTGGCCGGGATCAGGAACAGTGTGGTCAGCAGGACCAGGGAAGTGATTCTTCCCCTGTATCAGCACAGGTGAGGCCACACCTGGAGTACTGTGTCCAGCTCTGGGCCCCTCAGTTCAGGAAGGGTATTGAGGTGCTGGAGCAGGTCCAGAGAAGAGCAACGAGGCTGGTGAAGGGACTTGAATACAAGTCCTATGAGGAGAGGCTGAGGGAGCTGGGGTTGTTCAGCCTGGAGAAGAGGAGGCTCAGGGGAGACCTCATCACTCTCTACAACTCCCTGAAAGGAGGTTGAAGCCAGGTGGGGGTTGGTCTCTTCTCCCAGGCAGCTATCAGTAAGACAAGAGGGCATGGTCTTAAGCTGTGCCAGGGGGGTTTAGGTTAGATATTAGGAAGAAATTCTTTACAGAGAGAGTAATCAGGCATTGGAATGGGCTGCCCAGGGAAGTGGTGGATTCTCTGTCCCTGGAGGTTTTTAAGATAAGACCGGATGTGGCACTTAGTGCCATGGTCTAGTAACCACAGCGGTGTTGGATCAAGGATTGGACTTGATGATCTCGGAGGTCCCTTCCAACCCAGTTGATTCTATGATTCTGTGATTCTATGATCTTAGTGCTCCGATGCATCTCTTTATGTCTGCCTTACCTTTAAGTTGAATCTCTGATGCAGACATTCTGTAATAATACTTGGAAGTTATTTGCATCCAGTCTAAAGAACCTTTTAGTTCTAGTTTTAAATTAAGAACTCCAGTGGTTTCAGTCCTTGATAAGTAAAGCAGCTGGATTTCACACCAATCACACCAAGGCTCAGTTACATTTTAGTCACAGCAGTGAAGTGATGCATGAAACTGACTGTACTGTAAAATCTTATTGTTATATGGATGAGGAAATGGACTGGCTCCAGACAGTAAAACAATCCCAAGACAGGGAAAAATACATATTGAAGCTTTCAGCAGAGAGAATTGTTCAGAATTAAATGTATTCTTTTGTTAGGGGGCAATAAACCGTGATCTAAAGGTAATTAGGCATTGGGAACTGTTCTCATGTGTCAGTATGATGCTACCAGAGTACAGTATACATTGTTCACAGAGTATGCATGCTCACCTTATCCCACTAAGCACTGGAGTTCTGTGGAGCAGAGTAAAAATGCATGTAGGTATAGGTGTTTACCTCCAAATGGATTTTAATAGAGGATGACTTGTGTATGTCCTAAACTGTTTATTTAGGCTGTTCTTCTCTGCTTGAACTTATTTATTTTCATGTTTTTGAAATCACTAAAATAAGACCTTTCTGCTATTATTTTTGTCCATTTTAAGCTGGACTCTAATACCTAAAATATAGCAAAGTGCAGAGAATTTGCATTTTAACTGATAACTCTGGGATCTGGTGGTTCCAAAACCTGATAATAATCATGATCAGAATGCCTTGAGTAGATAACAAGGCGAATTCATGCAATTTTGCACTGGAAATTTTCCCCTAGGTTTTTCAAATACAGAAAAAATACACTAGATAAAATGCGTATTGCTACTACTTGATTTCAGAATACCTGAGAAGTGTACCCAGAGAAAGTGTTGAGCCCTCATTAAAAACTGCTTATTCCTTCATACTGCATAGAGAAAGAAAATTGTGCTAATTATCTGGTTATTCCCTCCTATGCTTCAAGCAAATCATCAGCTTCCCACAGTCCTGAGTCAACTACAGCCTGAGACCCTGCAAAGACTTCCAAAAGGCATCAGAAGTAGGAGTTTGAAGGCAGTGAGCAAAGCCTTCCTTCCAGTGAAAGCCCTTTGTCAGGTCAACCGTTGCCATTTAAATTGAGCAGTTAAGTATTGAAGCTAATAGTGTAACATGGTGATGGATATAATATACCCTCTGCAGGAAACCCCCCTCACGCAGGTCCTTTACATGCCAGTGCTTTCCCTCTCTGCTAGTCTCATTACAAGGACTCATTTCTGTTTTGATAATACAGCAGTGCTAATAGGTATTAGCTCAATGCAGGAAGGAGGAGTGTTGAGCCTGAGGGGAAGTGTCATCTGTGACAGAGTAAATTTTATTCAGTCCCCCAACCATCTTCTAGACACAGAAGATGGGCCCTCTTTACTAACCAGTTTGTTACTGGAAGCCTTGTTTCATATGTTACCTCAGCTGAATTAAGTCTAAATTAAGCCTTTGAGCATTTTATTCTAACTCCATCAGTACCATCAGCAGATGCCATCATAGTCCACGGTCAGCCTGGACTGCCCAATAGGAGTCTGCTCATATTAGTATCCATTCCCCTGCATTGCTGTAGTGTTAAAGTGTGGATGATCCAGGCTTTCCCCTCAAGAAATCTCATTAGTCATAAAGACAGAAAATTTTCAACCCTCTTCTTCCTTTGGGAGATTTTTCCTTCACATCTATTGGCTGAAATGAATAGTAGCCAGATAGTGCTTTGCTTTACCAGTTAGCAAAGCTGGTGGCAAACGTTTAGAGGAGTGGGAAACACTTCCCTGTGAAGAGAATTAGCCTGTCTTGCTGTAAGAAGGGGTGGCTTTGGAGAATGACAGTGGAGAAAAAAATACCATCTGTTAAAACAAAGAAGTCAATATTCCCTGGACTTGTAAGTCCTGGATAAGGACATTCACAGTGTATTTTTCTCCCAGTGCATAAGTATACCACCAGCCCCATTGATTTTGTGCTTATATCAGGAGAATGATCTATACCTCTTTTGGAGAGATGCTAACTCTCTGGAGAGAACCACTGAGATTTCATGGTGACATGTATCACAATTGCTATAAAATCGCAATTTATCTGCTGAATTCCCATTGACTGAGATAACACCTCGCCAGGAAAGTGAATCTGCTATGATTTTCTATAATAGCACTCCTGACATTTATGTACCCCTGCCCCTTGCTTATCTGCCTTGTGAATATCTCCAGGTCAGAATGTAAAGGTACATGATATTTACAAATCACAGCTTTTTCCACTACTTACTTTGTGATGTTGATAAGGACTGAATCACAGAAGGTATGAAGTGTCTTTGTTGTAAGTTTTCACATGTTTTTATTAAAGCACAGGCAGAGGTGCTCTCAGGACCAGAAATGATGTTGACCTATTATACATGCCCATGAAAATCTGGTATGTTCACAAACACTACACTGTTATCTCAGTTCTCATTTCAGCCATCTCTATTTTCCTGTTGATGTTTCTGTTAGCAAAAGCTGTTTGGAGTTGAACTCAACACAAGTTCACGCGTTCTCCAGTCCTGAATGAATTATTGAGCTTTTGAACACTTAGTTGGTGGATAGAATCCTAAAGAAAGAAGAAAGCAGAGAAGGAAGGAAAAAGAAATCAAAAAACTTCTTTAGAAATAGAACTCATTAAATTTGTTGCTTTTGTATGTGTTACAAGTGTGGAATATGTATTTATAGAAGGGGTAATTTGTTTTGTTTTAGTTTTATAAGGAAAAGCTAGAAACAGCACTTAAAGTCACAGTTGATAGTCTATAAGATATTTTTATGACTGGCTTTACTGCTTGTTTACATGACAGATCTCACAGAGATACCAGGCACTTAAACATCAACCAACTACTGGCATTCAATGAACCTCATTAGTTTTAATTGTATTTATTTTTATGCCTATTATAGTAACATTTACCAGCTGAAATTAATATTGCTTAGATTGGTTTCTCCATCTAAAAGTGAGTTATCTAAACTCTGTCCATAAACAATACAGACAGGCAACTTGAGAAAGCAAGTCATGTAGCCTGTCCTAAATGCTCTTGTGAGGAAGGGATGAATCACTCCCGTTTCTCTACTGACCACAGAAAGGGTCTTGTTTAAAGTGTTTGCCTTTTCTATGCCTGCAGTTAGGCAAAAGAAGTTATGCTCATAGTAACAAAATAGATCTTATCATCTAAGTCAGTTAGGTATAAACAGAGGAGGGAAGAGTGTAGCAGAGGTGGAATCTCTTGCCCAGGGATCCAACAGATCAGTGATAAAGCAAATAAAATGACTAGTCTTCAGCTTGCGGGCCAATATTTTACTTCAAGCCTTCCCTTCACCTTTATAGTTGGTGTGAGCTTTGCTATGGGAATCAGTGGGAGCAGGGTGACTGCCTGGATTGCCACCTGTAATGATTTAAAATTGGTAGGTTTATGTTTATCTGTTCAGAAATCACTGCTACGCTTCACCTATTTTTCAAACAGTGTCCCATAACTTTGTGTTATTTACTACCTAGGGAGCAGTATAAACCACAGGAATGACCCACTCAAACCTCACTAATGAAACATCTTTTGCATTGCAGTTGACCTGGACAGGTTGAATGATGACGTGAAACGTTACAGCTGCACCCCGAGAAACTACTCTGTCAATTTAAGGGAGGAACTGAAGCTGACAAATGTAGTTTTCTTCCCCCGCTGCCTCCTTGTCCAGCGCTGTGGAGGAAACTGTGGCTGTGGGACTCCGAACTGGAAATCTTGCATGTGCATGTCAGGGAAAACCGTGAAAAAATATCATGAGGTATTTTCATTCTTTCTTTGTTACTTCTTTTGGGTATTTATTGCTTCCATGGATTCTGAAGTCTTTTCTCCGAGCCATGTGTGCTGCTTGTTAATTGACTATCACGTTAATATTGATCCATGCTATATCATGTTATATTATCATTATGCTATATCATGTTATATTAACATGCTTATATTGATTATCATGTTGTATCTGCAGTGCAAAAATCAATGGGTAAAAATTACCGACGCAGTGAAGGGTCATAGGTGAAGATGCCATCATTTGAAAGACACCACAGTATTTGAGTGAATGCCTTCTGTGCTTACCACTCTTCCTGAGATGAAGAATCTACTTAGGCTTTAAGACAGATTCAGGTAGCTTTAAAGTGAAAACATAGATAACAGCATCTCTATTGCTGTCCATGCAAGATACCAGCTTGGTATCTCATGGAGCATCATTTGTACCTTCCACTGCAATAAGGCATAGAGACAGAGATGCACACAGAGTCAACATGCAGGAAGGCCTAATTTTAAATGTTTAATATTGATGTCTTTAATGCCACAACATCACCCAGTGATATGCATTTGGAAGTGGTGAATGAACAGAATGGAAGGAGGTTATGTATGTGTGAGAAAGGGGTGTTAGCAGGTGTTTATGGGTAAGTTAATTTAGAAGCAGTTAGAGAGAACTTTTGCCACCTCTGAGTAGATGCTACCACAGCATCCTAGTGAATTTTGTTGCAAGAATGAGGACTGATTTTTCCCATCAGAGGACTGCTACAAAGTGGATATATATATACCTCTGGAAATAGTCTTTTCAGTAGCACAGAGGCATGTGTTCCTTGAGACATTTGACTGCACTTCCTCTTGCTTTAAACTTATGCCCAGATTTGGAAATTATAAGTAAGTCCTTTGCAAACTCTCTTCCCTTCCAGATTTATTACCTGTAGGAAACAGCTGAATCATTCAGCCTTATCTTTTCTCCAACTCAGCAATTTTTTGGGAAGGCAAAATTTTTGCATAGGAACAATGTTCATTATGTTTATTTTTAATCTGTTCAGAACACATTTAGAGAGGGAAAATACAAGGAAAGAGCATTTTATATTCTTGCCTCTAAATCAGTATTTTCAGATCAAGACATGAATAATGTTGACTAAAGTGAAGATATCTAGGAAAGTTACTTGGTAGCAGCCTTTTAACAGTCTGAACATAGGGAAGCTGCATGCCATGCTGACTTAATTTCTGACACTATCTCTTGTTAAGAGCCTGATTTACCACTTGGCTTAAGTCCCAAGTGAAAATAAACTTTATGGACTTTAAACCTGGATGTGATGTGGACTCGTAACATTAAGGCATTATCTTGGGAGACCCAGGGCTGCAATAGCACAGGGTCGTTGAAGGTCAGACCTTTGCCGCACTGTGAGCGATGTGGTTACTCTTTTCCAAGGTAAGCGATATTTTCTCACAATTAACTGTGGCATACAGCATACTCCACATCAGCTAGGACTAGAAAATAGTTAATATTTTCTATAATTTTAAACAAAATGCAGGGAATGACCCTGGTAATTACAGAGCAGAAAGCCTTATCTCAATGGTAGAAAAGTTAATTGGAAAAAAAATTAATAGGTTTACGATACCTAGATGACTATGAGCTGATAAAATGAACTTGGAATGCCTTATATATGAATAAATATTTATACAGCACTACAACAAGAATGCTGAAAGGCCTGGAACCTTCTTCAGTGAGCAAACACTCAACCAGACAAGATCAGACAGGGATTATAAGCTGGTTAAGAGATAAAAAGTAAAGAGGTGGAAGAGATGAACAATTTTCTAAATAAGAAAGGGCTACATGAGGTGCCCCCAGCACGTAGACTAAGTGTTATTTCATGTATGATCAGTCTGAATGGAGGTGAACAGACAGGTGGAAAAAATGACAGCTAGCACAGGAGACACCGTAACAGCAGAGAAGGCTGTGAGGAATTTCAGAAAGCCTAGGTAACTACTTGTAAATGCAGGTTATAAAAGCAGCAAGCATTAGGACGAATGGTCTAAACTATCTATTCATGTAACACTAGGTGTGTGAAGAGAGGAGGAAGAAATGAGGGGTGGAAGTTATGCTAAAAGTTGAGTAGTGAGTCACTGTGAAGAGCTTCAGGAAAACAGCTGTTTAGTGCAGTGATAGGAAAAAGACAAGTGACAGTCTTCTCCAGGAATGAAGAGGTAATAACATAGCAGATATTGTAGCCTAGATAAATTGGTGGGGTACTTATGCTGGGTTTTGACCATTGGTGCTTATAATGGTACAGGTAGGACTAGAAAAGTTATACAGAAGCAGTTAACATACATCAAGAGAGATACAGGGGAAGATACAGATCAAAGACATTTGTAAAGAAAATGGCTCAAAAGTTTTGCATAATATCACTTAGAAACAAAACTCAGAATAAGAGAGAACACAGTGAAAGATAGAAAATAATGAATACTAGTTAAAGGAAAATCAGGTTTTCCTAAATAATCTCTTCCTTAAGAAAAAAACAAGAGAGAGATTGAAAGGAAACTAACTTAAAATGGAAAAAAGGCATCATATTTTTTTCACAGTAAATCTGTATGGAATTTCAATGCTTAAATATGAGCTGTGCATAGTTCAGAAGAGTTCTGAAAGAACTAGAAGTAAAATATAAACTAAGGAATTCTGAGTTACACCTGTATCAGAATTTAAGCCAACTGTTGACAGCAGCCAGTAAAAAAATGCTGATTATAAACGTTATCAAACATTTACTTGTTATCAGGTGTTTGGAAGCTGCTGGTGCTGGGACACCAGAATATCACACTAGCCAAGTATTGCTCAGAACCAGGATGTCATGACTTATGACCGCACCAAACTAATCACTATATTCAAGAAATTCAGCATTCACACTAATACATCACTGTTAATTTATTTTCCCATTCCTTTTTTCTCCAAAAACTGTATGAATTCAAGACAGTGTTTCATCTCTACCATTAAATGGTCTTTGTAAGTTTAAATTTAAACTTAACCCTTAGGCATGAATTAGCGGCTCACTGGGCAGAAATTTAGCCAAGTGTCTCCCATTAATGCGAGTGGAAGTCATGCAGATAAATTCATGTATCACATACTAAAGATGTGCTCGTTAATTTTAGTCCAAAATGTTTTCCACTCTATTATTATTATTAGGCATGCATAGTTAATCAGTTTTATTCTTATTATCCTTTGACACTTAACTCTAATTTTACTTAAATACCTGGCAGTAAAGGCCCCGAGGAAGGGCCTCTCAGTATGCCAGTTTTAGAACCATGGAGACAGTTTACTCTCTTAAAAGCCAGTTTGAAACCTTAACCAAAGAACCTTTAGTTGCACAACAAGGGACAGAGCTTCACACTTTAAGAAATTCCTAGCACTGTTAATTTGGTTAAAAATCTCTGTCTACTGCTGCAGGAGAACAAAGGCCAGAAGACACCAGAACGAAGTATTAGGTAGTGGAGCAAAGCAGATGTTTGTAGTAGCTGAAACAGAGTCCTGTAGATCCCAGACCACTTCTCTTGCCAGGCTGATTTTCCCTAACTGCTATTCTGGGGCTTTATCTACTGAGCTCTGGAACCCACAAGAGTTGTTTGTCCTGCACATGAATATGGTTGTCCTCAACAGTAGAAACTTGTCTGGAGATCACTTAAAAGTTGAGTGGAATTTCTGAGCTACCCGATATTTCTGGGTGAGAAGGACAGGCAGGCAAATTTTCCAGAAGGGATAGGCTCCTTTTTGGCTTCGTAGCCAGTATTGGAATAGCTGCTTGCTGGCAGCTGTGAGGACCCTAAGGTCCAGTGTTGGTTGACAGAGAGGCTTCTAGTGCAGAGAGATCCCAAAGTTATATTCTCCTTATGCTTTTAATGTTTTTTAGTTCTCCCTTAGTTCCTGTTCAAAGCCTCACACTGTACTCATCACCAAGCACTCCCTCCTAGCCTAGCCTCTCAGGACTAATAGCTATGACATGTAGCCTTTAATTTCCCCAAGCTAAGAGTGCTGCTCCAGTTCCCTGGATGGAATGTACAGATCTTTTCTATCTTGTCCAATTGTAAGAAGTGATGCAACAGCAGGAAATGAGAATATATACCCCTACAGTAAGGGGTAGCTTTTTTTTATTGCCCTGGGGAATGTTAATCATGAGATCTCAAGTCTTTTTTATGGCCTGGAAGTTTGCCATGACTTTACCAAAATACTCTGTTTCCAGAAATAAACAGGTTCATAACTTGGGTAAACAGATAGTTTTATAGGTGGGGGGTTTTGGGTGTTTGTTTTGTTTTGTTCTGTTTTGCAGGAGTCTTGTGATGCTCTGTGGTTTTCCGTGGCTTCTGGGTTTGCTTGAGACCAGAGCAAATACTCTGGACAAAGACTCATGACTTACCACATAGTATCATGGACCATTCAAACCAAACAGGCCAAGTCCTGGCAGTGTCTGAAAATGTCTCCTGGGCACAGTCTGCCATAAGTGATACTGAATTATGTTGTACGGCTCCCTGCAGGGGAAAGACAAAGCAACACATGGAAATGGATGCAACACACCTTAATCAAATGCTCAGGTCTACTGCTGTCTTAACTTTCTAAAGGGGACTTGAAATGAAAGCATGTTTTTCATTGCACCACATTTCTTTGGAAATACCTGGAGCTGCTCTTTAAAGAGAGATGGGCTCTAAACTTGGAGATCACTCAGCCCAGAGGAGGTGTGGGGGAACTCAGGGCCAGAACTCAGTTCAGCTGCAGCTACAGCTGTCTTATCCAACCAGCATGCATATACCTCAGAGAAACAAGAAATCAGTTTCCCCATCTCATTGCTGTAACTGATGAGATGTGAAATGAGTTTCCGTAGGGAATAAGTGCTCTTAAGGTAGCAACCAGAATTTGTCAGAGTGCATAAACCTCCAGAAACACAGTGCTGAGCAACACAGCTAAAAAGCATATAAGGAAAAAAGCAAAGTAGTGAAAGCTGATTGCATCTTTTACCTACT